CAACAAGATGTCATTGGGCCCTACACCCGAGAGAATAAAGGCGTAAATACTAATACGTGCCAACTTTGCCATGTACACATCTCACAACAAATGTGGCAGATACAGTACGACACTAGGACAGTTCTAGGACGTTAGCTCGCTGATGGATGGTGATGGCTTCTGACCGGATGAAGTGACAACGCTCGGGCGGAAATTAGCAAAGCGAGACCTTCCTCGCCTCCTACTCCTCATTTGTCAACATTCCTGCCGCCCGACATCCCCGCTAGCGTGCAGGCGTCCACTCCGCACACCTCCGCAGAGACCGCTTGAATTTCCGTGCCGCTGGCAAAGCAATCCCCAGCCCCTTCCCCCTGCTAGAGTCCAGTTTACGGTAGGAAGGACGCGTTTTCCTCTCGACACGTATCCCCAAAATACCTCCCCGGCCTAGGAACACGGCCCTCCTTCGCGTTATCGCCTGGGGCGGCGAAAATTCCTCCTGAGTTTCCTGTAAATTATGAGGAACCCGAGCCGGGGAAAGGAAGGCCTGCCTCAAGCCGGATGAAAGAACGTTCGCAACAGGTGTATCTTATTAAACGTTATCAACGGATAAATCGAAGTGACAAGGCGATCCCGCTACATCTGACGGCCAATCAGGGAGGGGGACCTTGTCATCGGCTCGTTACGGACGGATATAACGAGATGTGCCGGGCTCGGGAGGATAGAAATCTACCGGACTGTCTTAGCGTTCCCTAACACCGCAGACATGCTCGACAAGTTTGTTACAGGCTCCAAATCTGGTCAGGAAGATAAACAAAACACGGACATCCGAGTTGCTGAAACCCCTGCGTCCATGTCTACTCCTGACTTGGGAAATTGGGCCCAGTGCAACATCCCGTCAGTAGTACGGGTATATCGATGTCAGGACGGCCCTTGTTATGGGTGAAGGTTGGAGTCGCAGTGATATAACTTCTCCTGACACGGCACTACTTGAGTTGCAGCCTTTTCTATGCAGTCTGACATGTTCCCTGTCACTTATTCAATAAAACTTGAATAATTAGCACACAGCACAAATATATGTTATGTATAATCGGGCATCGTTGTGCTCCAGGGCTAGGCCACTGCATGTGGTCAAGGATGTCCTAAATAGAACATTATTATATTACATACAGCCAGATCATAACTGATAAGAAAAAGTCAATGTTGATGATGAGATATTTTCTGTGTTATTTTAAATCGTTTCTAACTGGTTTTCTATCATTTGCCGATTGAATTCGATTCGACGAGAAAACGTACGTTTGTAAAAGTTGAAACATCAAAACATGCCAAACATCATCCCCGTCAATTTGTAACCTTTTGTTCCTGGTGAGATAGCTGACTTGTTTAATTGGTCAAGTCGGAATTGGCTAATTAGGACTATTGTGGGCCATTTTTGCAGCCGGAATGTCACGGTCAATGGCGGGAGAACAGGTGGACCCCATTAGGCGTGATCGGAACAGATAGGGAGAATTGTCGGGCTCGCCCCGCGCCCCGGGTTATCAAGTGTGCGGCGAGTTGCCGGGCGATTGGAAGTCCGGAGGCGGTGGGGCACGGACAGGATACCCGCGTGAATGGACTCAAGCCGAGCGTACACGGCAGGGAGAATTACGGCAATAATGGTTACTGTGATACTGTGTGGCGGGTAGGCTCCACGAACATCATTTCTTGTTAGAGTCTTCTCGAATTCACAGAGCTCCAGACGACGTTGAAACTTATTTCCACAGGTTATATTGGATTATCTGATTTTGCAGGTTTCTGCTTGCTATTATGTTATGATGGTAATGTCGGGAAAAAACATCAAACGTTGACACGTATACCGAAGAAGAACGTTACATGTACAAGACAGTAGCCACACGAAAACAGTGAAAGAAAAGTAAACGACAAATATTCGATTTCGAACCAAACAAAAAAAAAACACAGCCTGTGTTTAACACTTACCTACACGTGGAATATATATTGATATGTAATGCACTTTAGACAGAAATCAAGTATATAGATATTTCTTTCTTTCTTTCTGAACCATATCATGTGAGTATTCTGTGCTTTAAATATCATCATCCCTATACTGGTTGTCTTGCTAAGCCTGCTCTGAAAAATAAATGGCCAAACAGGAAGATCTCAGATGATCAATCTCACGCGTTGTGAATCTTGAGAATAAATAACAATGTGTATCAAACAATAATCAGCTTTTCAAAACTAAAAAACTTATGTGTACGAGGTCAACTTTAAACCCGTAACCCGTGTAAGTGACCATACCAGGACTGTACTTGTGGCAGACAGCAAACATCATGTACAATGTAGCGTAGAGATACTAGTACATGCTGTCGTGCGGTAAAGTTGTATAACTTTATCATTCCAATATCGACGTTAATTTCATTTGATTGTTACCGACATTCAATGTGACAAGTCAGGTCGGAGTTCCCGTCAGCTGGTGGATCGTGCTGCATCATGGACTATCCTACGATGCCTCTCTGCACCAGGAACTTAGGAACGAATAGTCAGAGTCCTCAGACAAAATGTCATCAGATATCAAAACATTCTCTATGAGAGCAATATAAGTATAGGTCTACTGTTGAATGCATTTAGCTACTCAAATAGGTCAAATGTGAACCCGGCAAAGCATTTTTGCGAAACAAAATTTAGTGCAGGGATTCATACTGTATACAAAATTTAGTGCAGGGATTCATACTGTATACATTGATAAGTTTTAATACGTGTAATATACGCCACGGTACGGGACACAAATCGCATCACAGTGAGCCCATCTACAGATAACATGGCTAACAATAACAAGCGGTGTGAAGAATAAACAAAGGACGAATTACACGGACGTTTACACAACTGGGAACTTGGTGGATTCCTAATCCGAAAATTGAAGAGGAGAAATTGTGAGAGTAGGGTGTCTTCTCCGTGACGATAATTCAAAGGATACCTTTTTAGACACCAGCCTTGTAGTTCTAGATAGACGCACCCAGGTCCAGTTATCGCTCGGAGAGATCGAATACCTTGAAGACTGCTTTTTATATCTAATTTTGAAACTGAAGCGTTGTGTCCGATGACCACATGTCCATGGCCGATGGGTGCCCTCGGTGTTACAAACACGTACATTTCGTACAACAGTACATGATGGAATCCGGTCTCACCCAAACAAGACTTTCCTCAAAAGTGTTCTATTCCTGTTTCTTCAAGGAAAGGTTTGTTTTGAGAACTAACAGAGGATATGATGAATAAACAAGTGTAAACCTGGCGCTGAGGGATTGCGGAGAGACAGCATGATACCAGCGGTACCCGGGTGTGAGGCGTGTTCGCGCTGAGACGCCAGGCCAGGGCGTCTATATATTCTATACGTAATTTGCTGCATACATATATTCTGTATGTAGGATGACTTTATTCATACATATGTTGAGCTTTGTTAGGTGTTTAGTTGTAGAAGACCATACAAAAGGCCCGTACTTTTTGTTGAGTCAATAGAGAATCTACCATATACTGACTGACCTTTTCCTCTGTTTATAGTTTTCCGTTGTGCCATGTATGTTGTACATAAGCCTTAATCATATCTTTTTCCTTGGCTAGCTGGTCCAGCGTCTTTCTTCTGACTAAGTAATTGTTACATCCCCGTGTTAAACCAAGAACGGGGTCAGATTCTTGTAAGGTATGGTCTGGAATCTAAGGTCAGTTGAACTAATACTAAGATGTTTTCAGTGTAACATAAAAGCAAGAAGTTGCCATGGGAATTTGGGGATTTAAGGCCACTGTTCTCACTTACATAGCACCATTTCACGGTGGTCAGATAGCCCTGTGATATAGGTATGAAACAATAACACGTATTACTTTCTTCATTAACACGATAAACAGATCTCCGGGTAATGGAAAATGAGAGCACGCGGTCAAAGCAACCTCAACTCATACACCAAGAAAGTACAGAACTTGGTTTAATCTGTAACAGAAGGCAGTGGCGATTTGTGGGTTTCTGAGCGTAGTTTTACGTAAGTTGAAGGAGGTCCTACCGCGTGAGGGCCGCCCTCTGCTCACGGGTGGTTCAGTACGGGGGAGGAGCACTTCAAATTGACCCCAAACTGCAAATGTGTTCATGATTAACCCCTGCACGCTGCGAGGTGGACAAACATAGATTTGGTTTACCCCCAGGATGGATACAAAACGGATACATGTGCATCTCTGGGGCACACAAAAAGACCTATTAAGACCACGAGCTGTGCTGAAATGCATCAATCACAACGTGTGGAGGTCCGTATTCAAAACTCGAATTGATGAATTATGGTCTGTTCAAATTATGGTGACTGAGTTTCTGGTGCTTCTATTTTGTCTCTCTGTAGTCTTATGTTTCAGTGCTTGGGACACGAATCATACTACAACGACTGATGTAATATCTAGGACCTTCTCACAGAGATAGATAGATATAATGGTTGGGCTCAGAATGAACTGTATGTATGTGATAAACAGCGAACCAGTATAGGAGTGTAGGTCTAAGAATTGTCATGTACATAATATTGGGCTGTATAGTTTGGTTCAACAGCTCCTGTTGTGGATTACGGTTGTAAGATTATGATTAAGACCCCAGTTCAACGCTAGAGAATTTTCAATGTGTCTCATCTAGAGCCTTATCCCAAATCAGTTTGCTATGTGCCTTGTCTAGTGTTAGTCTTATAGTAGGCCGCTGAAGCAATCCTTAGCTCCATTACAGCGATAACGTCCAATAAGGACTGCATTCATTGTGCGTAGTCAATGACTAAAGCGGCATGCAACAGCTACCCATAGAACAATAGAAAGAATAAAATGGCATCCTGTATTGAAGGATAAAGACCATCAATATCATAAAGTTACACTTTAGTCATCAAAATATCACTCTCCTATATCTCCTATATCATCTACCGTTTATCTACTTTGCTTTAGGAATAATTTCGATTCATCATTCCCGTGTGTTCTACCAAGGAAAGTCAGTGAAATTCTTCAAGGAAAAAGGGATTTAATTGAATATTCTGTACAAACAAATAATCCTGGCAATCAGTGACAGCATATTTCCATTTTCAATCAATATCTCACTTGTTGTTGTTTCTGACGGCACGATTTTTTTATTCAGCAATGCGATACCCTGTAGATTACCAACCTTACAGAGTGCAGGGCCAAGAAAAACAAACACGGTTATTTCTTAACATCCGAGAAAGTGCAGAGACTACTTTAGTATAGCACTTGGAAACAAGACTGACATTGTTCTGAATAAGGTTCTGTACGTACATGTAGATAAGATATAGGTCTGGCCTGACAATTTAGCTATATACTAAACCGAAGATACGAACGTTCACTATATACAACGATGGAAATGCCCACGATACCCTAACATTGTTACTGATCCCTTCGTCTCGTGTACACTGGATATAATTCTACATAGCAAAAAAACTCACAATTTCCTTGTTCCTGGACGGAATACGCTGAAGTAGGGCGGGGATAATTTCTTCACACATCAAAAAGTCAGAAGAGAGCCAGTCTGAATTGAATGACGGTAATATCTGTTCAGTCCTATACAAGACAAACCCTCTGCTGTTCCTCTGGTGCAAGGGTGTTCACGGAGAATTCTTCCCAATCTTGCTTCTTGATAACAGTCACACTGCTCGGTCGTCTGTCTCCCAAATGTCTCAAGTTCTATATGAGTTTTTTTTATTCAAACAATTTTCACTTCAAGATGAGACAGAAGCGACCTCAGTTCTTGAGTCCACGGTTTGCGGCGGCCCGAGCGCGCCCATCTCCGGGTCCGGAGACGTGGGGTCCTGCAGTTTGGCGTTGATCGCGAACGGCCACGTCTGTCCGAACAAAAAATTGGAAACGTTAAACACCAAAATATATCGTCATAAAATATATGTACACTCACAAGGCGTATGATGAAGCAAGCGACAGACGTGTATGGATTTGTTTTGACTAAAAAGACAAAGGGTTCTGTAGTTTCTAAACAAAATATAAGGAAGAGATAAGAGCTTCATGTATGGTCGCAAGCAAGACTAAACATCTAGCACATCGTCAGAGGAAAATACGGGGGTTGAATATATACGTTAACGAATTGAATTAATGAATTGAATAACATCGACGATTCGTAATGTGAATGGAGTATAAGATTATTCTAGACGTTTTTTTCAGCGAGTTGATACCGTGATTGGGTGCGACAGTGAGTAACCACAAAACGGACAAACATGTCGCGAAACACTTTCAAGATGACTCAGGGTTTAGTCTTTGTCGGGACATTATTTCCCGCCTCCTTTCTGAGTCATAATCATGTTTGACACAGAGGTGAGTTTTTTTCCGAGAAATTCTTTCAGGATTTTTTCTAATCCACCCTTGCCTGTGTTAAATTGATTGACATGGTAGAGATGGTCGGTCTGATTACAGTATATTAACGGTATGTATGTTTTTATAACGGTCTTGGCCGTATCAGAGTTTGTGATCGAACTTTCGTGGCGTCGCTCCAAAACATAGTTAAGGGTGATTTAGACGACATTGTCAGAATTGATTTGGCATCGTGATCCTATTTGCTAATATTATCTCACGTGGAAACCTAATGATTCTTCCAACGGGTGTCGTTGTTAAGAGAAATGGTAAGATTTTAACATTAAGTTACTGTATACGTAGCTTTGACATGTTTGAACTTCGTACAAGATAGCAAATCTATCCGAATACACACATTCTAGCAGACTATGGCTGATACGGTCGACAGTCGTCCCTATCTTCAATTTGTTGCGGTTCCAGTAATAGTTTACTGGGTTTTAACTTGTAGTGCGATGATACGGAGATTCTAACCTTGCGATAAATCTAGGAGAGATTCCTAACTATCCGTTCTTAGAGCCTCAAAACTTGATACGAGCAACTGGAGAATCTGAAAACAACTTACCAAACTGACAGGATGGAAAGCTGTGTCTTCCACTTTATCGTCCTGTAAGACTTTGCTGAGATGTCCTATGTACGAGGAGGCGAGTCGCAGTGTGTCCAGCTTGGACAGCTTGGTGTCGGCAGGAACCCACGGCAACGTGGTCTTTAGCCGGACGAACGCCTTACTCAAGACGCGCATCCGCGTCCGTTCCCGTAGGTTCGCCGCTGTCCGCACCTTCGGCGGCTGTTCCTCCTTCCCCCGCTTGCCTCCTCGCTTCCGCCGCCGGCCTTTCTTGGAGGATCCGGCTCCTTCGGGTTCCTGAGAGTCGTGGGAACCTTCCTGGGTCGAGCTTTCGGTTTCAACGCTCTCGTTTCCAGAGTCCACCTCGACCGTCTCCACGTCCATACACTCCTCCGGGTCGACGTCGCTGGCCGTGCCCGTCGACATGACTCCAATGCTCCGCGGCTAGCTTCCTGTAAATCAGTCTGGAGTTCCTCACCACTTCTGAAATGTCTTCATGTGCTGCGGAAAGGTTGATGAATGTCCAGAACCAGAATGTGTTCTCTGCGTACTGCGATTCTAGGTTGGTACCACTTCAGCTCCTGTGGAGATGAAACCGTAGCGTTGTTTTTGGAGAGAGAGCTAATCGATCTCCCTTTCTCGATTGTCACGGTGATACCCACAGTCACGGTGATACCCACAGTCCCTCGCAGCCTTCCTTCCGTCCAAGAATTTGATCCGTACTTTAGCGGGAAAGTACCTTCGAAACTAGTGCAAGATAACTTTTACAAGGTGGACGTCGCATGTAGATCTGCCGAGCCGGCTCACGCGGCTACGTTGGAGTACGGAAGGACATGTGTGGTCTGGCACACTGAGGGCTGTACTAAACTTCAACACATCTCCCTCCCTGCTCTCCTTATGCAAATCACGGTCAGGAATCTCCCTCCTAATTGGTTAAAGGTTCGTCAGTCCCTGTCTGCCAATAGAAGCCCGTGACAGCGGTAACACGATGCGGGATGAAAATAATGTCCAATTTGTCAAAACAGCCGAGACTAGACCCCGGGCTAATTCGAGGCAGGCCAGGAAAAAGGGACCTCGTGTCAGGAGAAGGTGGCAAGACGGATTATCGGCAATTTCCTCCCCGTGTGGCAAGCTAAGTGGCAGCAAAGTACAAAACTAGCCAGGTAGTCCCGTACAGTTTGCCATCTCCCGTTCTATAAACAAAGGTCGGAAGGGCGTTGCTCGATCCGGTGACATTTTGAAGTAAAGCTAGACAAATGATGATCTGTATCATTTGATCACCTCATTTCCATGTAAGTCCCAGGGTTTCAGTTCTACAGTTTACATATATGACTGACGTCAACTAATTTAAAAGTTTTGTACTCCTGACGAAACGTTCAGTTTTCTTGATAACAGAAGCCCCAAATATCAAACAAGCCGGTAATGTGAATATCGGAACTTAGCAGGCATGAAAATCAAAAAGTGACAAAAATACAAGAATCGATGGTCTAACAATTTCTTCAAGTCTTGAGCACCTACGGATCTGTTAATGCATTTCTAATGTCGACTCACGTGTAGGCAGAGATATCCAAATTATCAGTAAGAAGCCGTGAAACGCGCATGTCACCCCCCTAAATGGGCGTGAAAATGGGTACGGAGACACTTAATTAAAGACAACAGGGTGGGGAGGGGGGCCGCCCACACACAGCATTTTTGCTCGTGTTGTTAGTCAAAACAAACCCGTCTATGAAATTGGCGATATCAAAGAACTAGAGTTAACCACATCGCGATCGTCTACCGAATAAATCAGAAACACACAGCTTCAAATAACCAACACAGATTGCCAGATCTCTTTCAGAGTCTTTTCTCATCAACTGAGTCGATAAGACCACAAAGAAATCATCCGATGCAGAAGAAAGATAAGGACAAGTCTCCAGTTAATTGATGAATTTGCGGGCTGTTTATTTGTGAATCCGTGCGACAGAAACAGGCACCGTGAGAGAGCATGTGTCCCCCCGGGACATGTGTGTATCAGGACCGCCCATCTCCCCGCACCAGCACGCCGTGACCCGGAGCTGGGGGGACCGGCTCGGGTAACCCTGGTGATAACCCCGTATCAATAATGCCGGGCTGCTCAAGGCAACGTTCAAGTTCAACCCTGTCGTTCCGGCTGGTCTACCCTCGACATAAGATGACTGATTTACTGGTGCGTCCCTACAGCACGCAACAAAAGTAGGAGTTAAAGTCATTCTAGTGGTGGTGGGGTCTCTGCATTCTAACGTAACTGCACAAAAATGTGCGCATGCGCATATAGGAACAGAGGTGGCTGGTGGCATCTGATATATCTGGATAAGTCTTAGCCTCTAACTGGTTGTAGGAAATCACGAGAAACATTGAACACTTCGATGATTACCGAGTTGACGATTATCATGATAAAGAGGAATCTACCTTGTTTTATTACCTACAGCAAATTTACCAAATGATTTATGGATACGCATTACATTATGGATGGTTGGCTAATTGGCTAATTGGTTTGTTTGTTTGTTTGTTGGTTGGTTGGTTGGTTGGTTGGTTGGCGGTTACTTCTTTATGAATTGTTTATTGCAAAGAAGAAGAGTACTAGTAAATTCTTGTGGGGTGCTACTTTGGCGGAAGTTTGCGTTCTTTGCCTGTTTTTCTTTTCCCTGGCAGTCTCTGAAACCATACCTTACATTGTAACAAAGACCGTTTCTCAGGAAATAAATTACGAAACTTTAGAACCTTCCAGTGATATACAGACAGAAAGTCCCATTTCCGCCCGGTGTCAAACTCAAGTGACCGCACACGTCACACTCACGTGACCACAGCTATGTTGATCTCGCGAGATTTTTTTTACGGAAACAGCTGATAGAAATGAAATGTTCGCATATTGACTGTGTATTATCCATGTGACTTACAACGCAGCAAATTGCCCTGTCTTTGCACTCCTCAGCCAGGGAGATCAGCAGAAAAGTGGACAAAAAGAAAAAAATGCATATTTATGAAAGATTATGTTGGTGTATGTGTTTATGCGTAGTTTATGTAAATGAATGGGTGTGTTTTTTCCAGAGTACTACAAAATGTTCTCATATCGAATTTCAATAGACAGCATTTCATCAGAGCCTCTGCAAGCCTTATCTGTGATTTGAAGTGATTTGTACAAGTCCTATTGTTGTTAAATCTTTGCTGAACAGCAACCGATGCATCCCTTTCATGTTCCTGTACCTCAAATTCACATGTTCTAAAACAATGCAGCCTCTGGTCGCCAGTTCGTTCCAGGCGCGGTGTTGTAGAGCTAATCTCTGTAGCCTTAGTAGTCTGGGTTCCAGGTTATACACCCCTTCTTTGTACGTACTTGTCTGAACCTACCACAGTACCCCACGTCACTGTGTACCACGTACGTCGATTAACGGTACCGTGCCTGAGTCCTGCGAACTGTTAGTGTTATCCTCCAGAAATCATTAGCGTAGATATAGATCACACCCCGCTAATGGTTTCGATAAATTAAGACAAATGGGTAAGATAAGCAACGGGTCGTCTGATATAAACTACGGCCGTGCAACACTCGAGAGGAGGGGGGCAAAATTAACAATGTTGATATTTTTCTTCTAAGGCGGCACCAAAGTTTTTGTTTCAAGGTTAAGGCACAGTCCGACACTTGAGAGTGCCAGCTGCAGTGTCATGTTTTGACGCATATATATCAACGGCTTTGCATTAAATCATCGGTCAAAACAATGGTCAAAATCAATGTAGAGCGCTTTGATAATGGTAGTGTATTACATCAATTAAAGTGCATTTTTCGTACAAGTGATGCAAGTCTGTCCTTACACAAATTACTATGATATGCGGCGTTATTTGTTAGTAACGTACATGTTTCATAGCATTGCTGTATCATGTGTGATTTTGCTATTGACACCGAAGAATTGTAAGCTACATATCACCGTTACAATGTCACAAGATTCATTAAGTATAAAAGCCTAATATTCTAATAGCCATTTGCTCCCACAGTGATGTTACACCTATGATTTGTTTTCCAATGCTTTGTTGTCACCGATTGATATCTACAATTTCATGATCACTTTGTACATGATTGCCCTGCAGATATTATGTTTCTATAGCCCTGAATGATATCAATGCCTATCAGTGTTGTTTGATTCATAAGCGATCCTTGGCCCCCTTCCTGACACCGCATGGCGAGGTCGGGGTGTAGTTGGTGCTGCTCGCCACAACACGCGCACGTCCCGCCGCGCAGCTATGTCAACACGCCCGCTATTGTCTCTCAAGTGGTCGGTATCGTCAGGTGGGCGAATGTGGGGTTAGGTTCCATGTCATCCACATGGGGAGATTGTACGATACTTGTGTGTATCCACCCTCCTTACTATGTAGGTTATATAATACCAACATAACACAACATAACACAACGCAATGTATAATAATCATTTTCGGGCGTTCTCATTTTTAAAAATTGTCGACGTCCTATACAGACCTCCACAATGCAGTTGTAAGACGAATGTTAGCGGACGAACATTGATGTACAAAAACGACAATAGACAGGGGGTAAAATTTGATCCAGCACAAGTTTATAATTAACGCTCATAGCTATCATAATTATGAAGATAAGTTATTTTAACTCAAACAAAGAGTATCGTAGACGTATTATTAATCTGTTCTCAGCGTTTGCTATCACAATAAATTGTACAAGGTATCAATTTGGTCAAGCATTTGTCTTAGCTGACTTAAACTGTTTCTCCTTACTGAATGTATCGTGGTTTTATTTTTGCAGTTTTCACAGTGACCTCTTAGCACAGCGAAATCATAACACCCGGAATATGTGGTTTGTATTTCTACTACACTACAGAACTGTTTGAACTTCAGACATTATGATGACAGCCTTTTCCCTGATATCACGAAATAAAACAACTGCGAAAGTACATTTATTTACAACAGTATGTATCAAAATCCAAACGATCTTAATTGTGGAGAAACAGGGAGTCCATCCCCAGCCTGTTGTCAGGTCCGTACCGGCACGGCCCGGGTATCTGGGCGGCGGACAGGGGCGGCTCGTGCAGGCACAGCTCCGGCACAGGGAGGACGTTCTCCTGTACCTTGGTGCTAAACGTGTACGGCCAGGTCTGAAACATGGCACCAGAACACCCGGGTAAGTCACAGTTTCTCTCCATTCTATTGCCCTCCACACTAGTACGGATTGTGTGGAGGTGTAAAATGTTGGGGCTACAAATTTGTTACACCAGGTTTATTGGTATATCTATGGTATGGTACAGGTACATGCCTTAGTTAGTCTTTTGCGATCTTATTAAGGTTTATCAACTTTTAAAGACTGCACTTGTAAAGCATTACGTTGTAGCCAGTTATAGAAATATACATTTTTTCTATGTTTCATCTTTTATTAGAACTCTATTACGACTCTATAAGATTACATGTTTGTATGTCACTGGTCGGATTCTTGTATTAAACGAATTAACCAAGAGGAATTTACCAAACCCCTTTTTATGTCGTGTCGCTTTTAGTTTCATTATTTCAACTATGGAATCTTCCTGTCTCTTATTTGAAATTAGACCCACGATGTGTCCAGCACTTTTACAGCAGCGTGGAATTACTATTCTCTCCGTATGGGAAAACTACATAAAAATCCTTTAAAACGTTTGCTAAGTAGGACTATTCCAACCGTCTCCGCTGACAGCTTCCAAAAATAGTTTTTGTCACAAGGCCACGTCCAACTCTGTATAATGAGGTGCCAAGTCCTCATGAAAGGTTTGTCAATCTCCTAAGTCTCTGTTGGCCCGGGGTAATTAACAGTTAACAGCACAGACATTCTAACGTCTTAATGTCTGCGTTTAGTCATGTAGTCTCAGGTTTAGACTGGTTGATTTCGACAGAACCACTCACAGCCCGTAGACTGAATTGTGTGCCTTTACTATAAAATCAAGTTCTGACATCACATAAATCTAATCTAAATCGTGGAGTCGTTTGCCAGCCCCACGAGCCAGGGCCCATAGTGATTATAATTTATAAAACATACTAGTACGATAATGAAAGTACTTATTACAGAGTTTTTTTTACTAATATAACGTCATGTTACATGGCAGTAGAACCAGGTTGACCCTCTGTTATGAAATAAGATACTCTTAAGTAAAGGATTCTGACAACCTTCACAATGATGTATGATATGTTGTCACGTCAGGGTAAGCCATGGCAGTGGAACCAGCATTTAATGGTTTGTGTTATACGTTACTATAGTACATTAATACTATCGTTATCACGGCTATGGTTTTGTGATGGCCATTGGATTTCTTATTCAGTAATTTCCATTACTATCGCCAACATTTGTTATTACTGTTGGTGACGACCTTCTGAGAGAAATGTTTATTCTGACACATTTTACAAGTAGGTATCATAGCACTTTCCTTAGGCAAGTGATGAAGAATGGTATCAAACCCGGCAGAAGGAAAAGACTAGTATTAGTAGATGCTGTACAAATATGGCTTGTACAATAAAGTTATATAATATATGTTACGTATGGTATAGTATGGTTACATTGTTACATCCAGTGACTTACCAGCATGAGCGGATGTAGCGAGTGTTCCACCATCTTGTCCCCCACCAGGACTTGTCTCATGTGTGAGATGTAAGACGTGGCGAGGCGCAGTGTGTCCAGTTTGGACAGTTTGGTGTCCGGCGGGACCCAGGGTAACGTCGTCTTCAACTTGGAGAACGCCTTACTCAACACCCTCATCCGGGACCTCTCCCGCGCGTTGGCAGCGTTTCTCTGTTCCGGTTTCTGCTTGTTGAAGAATTTCTTGGACTCAGTGTGCCTTTTTCTCCGTACCCGACGCCGCAACGGCCTCGCAAAGTCTGTCAGCGGGCCGTGGGGGTGATCTGGTCGGTGGAAGACGACTTCGGAACCGGCGGCTTCCTCCTCTGTGTCCGTATCGATGCAGTCGAGCTCGCTGACGGTGTCTGTGCTGACTGTCCCCGTGGACATGTTGGTGATGTTTCTCCTAGCAGACCATGTCAAAATTGTTTGATCTTTCCCTGTTAAGTTGGAAAGTGTTATATTTATCGATTAGCATGAAATACTATTTTTAAACGTGGCGTACAAAAGATAGAGGTATCAAGCAAAGCGTAACTTCACGCAAAATTGAACCTCAGCATGCATGAACGGAGCAAGAATTGAACTCTAGCCTAGATTAACAGCTCAGACATTGAATCAGACTAAAAGTGAAAAAAGGAAACGTTCTATCAAACATCAAGAGGGAATGCGGAATGTCCCTCGTCTCTACTAATTACCGTTAATTGAAGACTTAAACCCTCAGAATATACATTCGACCACAGAGGACAAAGCCCATCCCTTGGGATTTGATGTTTGGGAAGTTCTTCCTCTATCCAAATTATTCTATACCTGACCGAGTTTAGAAGCTTCCGAGTACGACTTCAAGATTGTATTTGATTATTGTCTATTTTTAAATTTCTTCTTTAGCTGATGGCATCTGTGTTCACGTATTTACAGCGCTGAATAAGACCAGATACGAGCCACTCTTTTCGTCTCTTAGTACAATCAGTCGCTAAAATCAACTCTTAAGCGCACCAATAGCATAAGACGTTTGTCAATCGCAAATGTCGTTTGCAAAAGTTGACTTTTAACCTCGGCCGATTGAATATGCGGTCTCCTGGTAATCTTGTCGAATTATCTTTCTTTTGAATAGTAAAAACGAAACGTCGCCATAATAATGTTTGATAGGTTCTCAGGAAGTCTGGCGCGAGATGGGATGGAAAAAACACATGGGATGTAAAAGCTCAAGAAAGAAGAAACAGCTAGTGCATATTTTGAGAATTAACACAACCTTCTACGCAATAAGTTGTAAAATTTGTCCATGTAATTTCCACGAGACTTCCAGAGGTTTTCAAAATGTCAAAGCGGAATGTTTGATGCACAATGCCACAGATGAAAAAACAAGCGATTTTAGTAGTTCACACAGTGATAAAATACGTACTGCTTTTAGGTATCAAGCTGTAATAACATTTCGCATAACTTTAGGAAGATGTTGCTAAACTGCTGACCAAAAATGTCTTTAATCAAACGGAAAATTAAAAGAAAAAACCAAGTCCATACCTACAGAAGCGGTCCCGAGCACTGCGCACCTTGACCAGTCATCAGGCGGAGTGTTGTTACATGTGTACCTCTGCCAACCTTTACGTCACTCTAATGGCACGGCTGGAAGAATATAAGCAACCTGAACCCAGTTTATTCTCTCCAAGTACAATTACAGGAGAGCAAAAGCCACAGGCCCCCGAACTATCCGACAATATTGGAAAGAAGGGCAGACCATTCAGACTACTGTAACCAAATCTTCAAACCCTCATAACGGCTCGAATTCTTCTCCCTACACTTGTATCCATTGTCCAGCTACACGAGTGGCTGTCATCAATACAACTGGCGAGGAAGTATAAATAGCATGAGAATGTTAACTCACCATTCAGACTCTTGTGCGAGCGGCGACCCCGGCGTTTCCGGACGAGGCACGTGTCACGGCCCGCTCATTTAATCGTTTGAAAGTGCCCCGCTACTCCAAACATTGCCGGGCGGTTGATGGAGGTAGCGCGGCGTGCGGTGCGGTCGCAGGTGCGCGGCCCGTGTGTATATCCCCCGGGGTAACCAGACCCGGCCTGTACCCGTGGTGTTTACCCAAGGTTTCCTTCTCGAGTACACGAAGCCCCCGGAGCCGACAAGGGGAGTCGGCGAGGGTCGAGGCAATGTTTACACTCGGGTAGAATCCTTGGGAACTCCTGACGGCCCGCTGAGAGAGGAGGGCGGGACAACTGACCGCATAACCCGATTGGGCACGGCTTGACCTTCGCTATCGATTTACTCAGAATTTTTCAAAACATCTCGATACTTAACGCAACTTTTAGATACAATCGCTTGTCAGTCCTAAATCTTAAACTTCTCAATGTGGGTTCCTAGATTTTATATGTTTCTTATATTTCTTGGTTTTGATTGGGGTTATTTTGTCGTTGATTGATTTCCTTAGTATTTTTTTACATTCTCGATCACTCTTCCTTTTCTATTCTAAGTACCATTTTCGCATATATATCACATGCTCTTTTGCAAGTTGACGGAAACTCTAGGATAAATCTTCAATTCCTGATGTTTACGACTTGAGTCATAAGCACTTGGGATTTCTCTAACTCTGCATGTACGCAGGTTTCATGTATATATGTGTAATTTGCGTATGTGTGTGTTTATGTGCATTTGTATGTGTGCATGTCTATTCTTAGACCTTGGTCTGCGCGTATCTCTCTCTGTGTGTACGTTTGTTCGTGTGTGTGCATGAACTTGAAGACCGTCGCAGCAGCTCGATGTATGACAGTAGCAACAACCAAAACGCACCATAGCGTAAAATCATGAAGAATCCTCTTAAAAGCCAATCCCATATAACAGATGTGGAAAGTCTATTATTACACGTTGGATGTATCCATTGGCAGGTGCACAAAAACCCTCGGTAAGTCCCCCTGCTTTAAAAACTAACAAACATCCGCATCAACCTCGCACCTCCCTAATCTTGTTGTCGGAGGAGTCAAGTTGTTCCCCTTGACTCCGGAGCCGTGGAGATGTCGTTAGGGAATGTTGCCCCACTTCTCCAGCCGGGCACAAAAGAGACCTGCTGACAGATGCTGTGGGGAGAATGTATAAACACACCCGGGCCGCGGCCGGGAGGAGTGCAGGACCGTTCCTGTAGACGCACATCCTGGCGGGGGGAGATGATTCTCTGAACAGGACAACTGGGCACTCTCTAAGAGGGACATCAAAAGAGGGAAAAGGAGTATGCAATAATAATAAAAGACGTCAAAGAATAAAAAGTAAAAGCACACTCCACCAACATTTGATGGTATATCGTACTTCTAGTCTATAATTTTGTGAAACATTGCCCTATTTTGGATGTGAAGCTGTTTCCTGTACAAGTATCTGCGATGTCACTAATAATAACGTTAGACTAGAGTCTTTAAATTGAAATGTTTGTGGGTAGAGGTTACGAAATAAGAGCCAATCTCGATTTTAGCCCTTCTTGTGTCTTTCCTTAGTACTGCAGCTGAGGTGTTTCAGTTTTTGTCATGTCTAGACCTAGATATGCTGTGGTCTTGAGTTTTTAGTAGTTGACTTGTTCAATAGATTCGCACGTACACAAAATTCCCAATGAGAAAGCACATGACGTCATGACGTCCGAGCTGCCATGGCGGCCGCTGAAAAGAAGCTGTCTCACTTTCCCCGGCGCTACAGGCAGGACATAATAGCTGTTTGTACAGGTGGCAGACCAAGGTTATTAGCTCCGGATTCTATGAACAGAGCTGAAGGATGGCGGAGTTATTAGTTCAACGAACTAAAATAGGTCCTTCCGATTCGCGTGATAAGACGTGGCGTGTTGCCTGCAGGTTTCGTGAGAGTGTGCCTTTTTGCGGAATATCAGCATTTTTCGATGTCGGAAACCCACGAGGACTTCCGTAGATTTCAAGAACAGAAGGTTATAGGGGGTCCGGATCGGGACTTTAATTAAAGACTAAACGTAGCCCGGGGCGGGGGTAAATGAGTGGGGTTTCTAAGACTGTTATTTTTGGACGGAGCCGTGTTCCCCTGACACACACTCCACGGTACACCTCCGCCCGTCCAAGGTCGCTCCTGTAGGCACATCCTTCATCTCCTGACGTACGGCATTACTCACGTCTGTGTTGGTACTTTATCTTGAAGTTGAAAACTTGCCAGTGAACGGTGTCATATTTACTGTCCAAACGTAAACGAAATGACTTCAGTTTGGCGGAAAGTTGATCCATGAATATATGAAATTAAGCCATATTCACAAATGACATTTTGTAGCTACTGGCGAAAATCAGTGAAATTTCAGGTAAAACCCCTTTGGGATCAGGCAG